TATTAATATTAGACCAGATAATATTAACATTAGGCCAGATAATATTAATATTAGACCAGATAATATTAATATCAGACCAGATAATATTAATATTAGACCAGATAATATTAATATCAGACCAGATAATATTAATATTAGACCAGATAATATTAATATTAGGTCAGATAATATTAATATTAGACCAGATAATATTAATATTAGGTCAGATAATATTAATATTAGACCAGATAATATTAACATTAGGCCAGATAATATTACTAGACCAGACAATATTAATTTTAGACCAGATAATATTAATATTAGGTCAGATAATATTAATATTAATTTTAATATTAGACATGCTAATATTAATATTAGGTCAGATAATATTAATATTAATATTAGACCAGATAATATTAATATTAGGTGGTTATTAAAGGTCTTCCACATGTGTAAAACTGCTCCAGTTATGGCAGTCTTTAATGAGACAAACATCCTGTATGATTCACCTGAAGAACAATCAGATCTGTTGTGGGGATAATTCCACTTTCAGGAAGGACCCACTCCTCTTTAATTTGTCAGACCACCCTCCACATCATGATGCAGCCACCACCATGTCTCACTGCAGGCATGGTGTTCTGGTGGTGATCCACAGGGTGATGTTTGCACCCAGTTGTTCCCAGAAAAGTTAGACTTTGTGCTTTTCATTTTTGGTCCTTTTGGTTCTTTATTTGGATCTAAACTGAAATAATAAATGTTTTTCTATATAGGATAAGTCTTGTGTCTCACCTAGAACCTAACCAGAACTTGTCTGAAGCTCCTGCTGAGGGTCTTTCAGCTGCTCCCTGGACCACCTCAGGTCTGGTTTTCATCTGTTTTGAGGGACGTCCAGTTCTGATGGATCCATATGATCCCTGCTTCTGTTCCAGGGGATGTCAATAAATACTTCCTGGTTTTGGACCTTACTCATCATCATCATCTTTATTAAAGACTCAAATAGGTCCACATACTAAACCAGTGTAGTACATTATTTAAATTATTTTTCCTGTTTTCCCTCGATACCTGCTTGTTTTTTAGTTGAATGATACAGGAAGTAAAATTATTTCAGTTTATCCTGATTTATTATGGTCAGGTTTTCCTTCAACACATTACAAAAACTGGTTTTTATTCTTAAAGGCAAACTTTTAAATATCCACTGCATCTTCTTCTCATCCAGCCAAATAACAATAAACTACATTTACATTGTTGTGCTTTGAAACCTTTCATCCATCCTGGTTTTATGTTTTCCATTATTTATATAGTTTTAATTTATGTGTGCTGTGACATTGTTTACACAATGAAAAAGATGTTGAGCTGCTCCAGGTTTTGTTGTTGTTGTTGTTGTTGTTGTTGTTGACTCTAACAGACGCACAAAGAAACATCTGGTCTTAGATCACTGGTGGCCCCAAGAACACATTTGTATTTCCTGGCTGTTAACACCGAGGTAAACAAACCGTAGAATCATTCCCGTCATTAATGGAGCCTCTTTGTGTTTCCTGTCATTGTGAGTGTGGCAGCAGAGCGTTGGTGCCTTTTATCCACACAAACAGGAAGTGGATCAGCTCAGAAACCAAGCTCTTTTTTCTGGTTGAGTTCAGTCAAACGTGTTTTTCTCTGCAAGATTGCTTCATTATAGAGGAGAAACCTTTAAAACATATTTTTGAGAATAATGTGCTGTTGAAAAACATTTTGAGGCCTTGCTGATGTCAGTGATTATGTGGCAAAAGCACATTTAAAAAAAATGGAAGATTTGTGTTATATAAAAAGCTTTGCTTTTGTACACGAAGGTTTGATTTTTACACATTTGATGTTTTCCTTCACTGAACGGTGTTTCAGTCTCTTGTCAAATCACTCCCATATTGTCTGTAAAGGGTCAAAGCCATGGTTTATTGGAAACTAGAGAAACTAATAATTAGATTTTTGCAACATGACACAATCTGTAAATTTTAGGATTATAATCTGTTGTTTGATATCTACACTAAAACACAATTAACATGTGAGTTTTAGACAATTACCCTCATAGGTTATTTATAAAAGCTGTTAAAAAAGGTCAGACTGTTGCTAACAAACTGTACATAAAAGAGAATGTCACCCGAATGCATTATCACGTGAAAAAACAAACACCATGATGTTTCTTTTACATAGAAATGTTTCCTCATTTATGTGAAGAACATGAAGTAAAGGGAAAAAATGCAATCACATACTTTAATTGTCTAAGTTTTACATTTTGTTGTTAATTTTCTGTCCTAATAAATGTATACATTAATACAAATAAATGTTTCACTTAGATTTTTATTTCTAAATGACCAATAACCCAATGTCACAACCACAAGGGTGTAAATATTTGAGTTATTTTTCCTCTTTGACCCCAACCAAACCACTGAAGCCAGAAAGCAAAGCCTAAAATGTGACTAACTGCTCATCATGACTATAGTTTGTAAAAAAGTGTGTTTGAAAGGTTAATGATAAAATATATTTATTGAAACTTTTACAAAAATGTTAAACCTTTTTTTAAGTTTACTTTTACCTTTTTCAAACATATATTTAAGGTCAGCTACCAAATGGTTAGCTTAGCTGAAGCAAATGTTGCTGAGCTGCCAGGGGATAGCTGCTAGGCTAACATGTCATTTTCCCACATTGTTTAATGAGACTGTTCTGAAATAATAATAAAAACATATGCATTTAAAGTTGTATTACTTTTGCTTGATGTATTTTAGTTCAGCTAAACCAAGAGGGGCTAGCAAAAGATAGCTGCTAGGCTAACATTCTACTTTTTAAACATTTTTTTATTAGTAAAAGAAAAACAAATAAGGGGGAAAAACACAACAACAAATAAAATAAAGCATTAATTACAACATATGATTTCCAGCAAAATATAATGTAAAACAAAACTCATGTTCGAAAAGGAAACAGGAAGAAGCAATAGCTTATCCAGTCCCGTTCCTAAGTCTTCATACAAATTCTTAAACCAGTTTTGTCAGGACTGAAAAAATAACCCAGGGCACAGGCAGGTTTCAAAAATCAAAAAGCATGAGGCCTTTAATGAAAACTCAAAGAGGCTGATAATACAGCAAAAACTCACTTTGACTTGGAGCTAGACGATGAACATGGAGCAGGACACGACCAGGTAGACAGAACAATGATCCGACAATGAGACAGAGACAAGACTGAGCTTAAATACACAGAAAACTAATGAGGGAACAGAAAACACCTGGGGAGAAACACAAGGGTAATCAGCAGTGTGATGTGGGGCAGCTGAGCAGAGACAGACAGGGGAACATAGAAACACTAGGAAAAACCAAGTCATAAAATGACAAACCATGACAGTACCTCCCACTTAACGATCGTCACCAAACGATCAACAAGGAGAGGCACGAGTCAAGGGGAGACGTGACAAGACAGAACTCAAAGACAAAACATGAAAGTTCAGGGGGACGGCCAGGGAACCCTCCATGGCGAGGCCCCGCAGGTGCAGACGTGGAGCCCCAGGAGGAGACGTGAGCAGACGAGGGGCCAAGGGAGGAGACGNAGGAGACGTGAGCAGACGAGGGGCCAAGGGAGGAGACGTGAGCAGACGAGGGGCCAAGGGAGGAGACGTGAGCAGACGAGGGGCCAAGGGAGGAGCCGTCGGAGGTTGATGGAGCCAGAGCCTTGGCGACAGCGAACACAAGCAACAGAGGCGACACGGAGGGGACGGCAGCCGACATGGAGGCGACGGCAGCCGACATGGAGGCGACGGCAGCCGACATGGAGGCGACATGGAGGCGATGGGCGAAGAGCCAGGAGATGAGGGGGTGATGGGCGATGTGGAAGCAATGGCAGCCGACTCACAAACCTCAGAGACC